GCCAGTCACTTACTCCATTGAGAGGCAGAAGTTCCTGCACAGAGTTACCGCTAGCGCTCGAGCTTAGCCCTGCCATGCAGTGCCAGCTCACTGGCTACGTGCCAGCTGGTGGGCTTAACTCAATGCAGAGAGCTTCTGGCTCACATAGAGTAGGTTACTGATGCCCAGTGGACACCAGGTAAATTGTCAAACTGGTAACACTGGACACTCATGATACCACAACCACTACAGTGTGATTTAGTGTCTATGGTGCTTGGAGTGTTCCTTTAAGAGATGAATGCTGAATATGCTTTGTTAGTTCAGCTATCTCTTATTTTCGGTCATAGTTTTGTTGTATGATTTATAGTGTGCTATTTGCATAAATCTACATTTAAGCAGATGAAACTATCAATGTACAATAAGAAAGCACAAATTAAATAAAAATAAAAAAATATCCAAATTTAAGCAGAAGAAACCTAAAAAAACCTCCCAATGACGGTACAATATACGAAAGGCCGGGGAAAACACACAATACAAGTGGAATTCACCCGAACCACCAGTGGTTCTACCACATACGTAATATTGTCAGGAAAGATAAAATAGCCAAAATATTTAGATATTTCATATAACGTATTGGAAGATGTGTATAGAAGATGCCACTGTATCCAGTTAAAGATCACTAAAGTCACCCAGGCCACGTTATCTCAATGAAGTAAGCTGGGTGCGGTGGTCCTTTAGTTTTAACCCTGCAATGTAAAACAGTTTTTTTTAGAAATTGCAGTGTTTAAATTGTAGGGAGTAAGTGTATCTCTTGTGGCTGTCATACTGATCTGGTAAAACGCGTGATGTGATGTGGAAGACCCCATAAAAGACTCCATAGAAATGAATTGATTCAAGAGAAGGGAAGCTTGATGCTCACAGGACACAGCCGCACATGTACACCAGGTCCCCAGTGCTCCTCTTTGAGGAGAATTGTATTGGACCACTGTGAGGAAGGTTATGACTCCTCTATGACATTGTGTAAAGTGATGAGGTAAGGAGGGAATAGGTAAGTAAAATTCTTTATTTTATTATTTGCTTTGCTCTAATGGGGGAAAACAATATAACAGATAAAGGGACACTAAGGGTCAGGAATACAGGTTTGTATTCGTAAAACTTTAGTGTTTCTCTACTGTTACAACACCACACCACAAGCAGAAATTAAAAACCATTACATTAGGAGATGTGAAACCTATCTCTATGCTCACATTGAGATTATCGCTTCTCTATACTTAATATTTGGTGCTGTCCACCAGGGCTATACCCATGAATAGGATGATTACCCCAGCTAGATGCCTAGTGCAGCCACCCTGTGGCTTAATCAACGCGTTTCGCCGCTTGCTACAGGCTATATGTACTTTTCTTATCTCTTTTGAATGTTGTAGCAGAAAGTGGCATACCACATTTTGGATACAGAATTTGATCCATTTACACTACAAAGGAGATCTGGCTTTCTATGCATCTTTCTATACTTTTTGATGAATGTCTCCTTCCTGGACAATATTACTTACTTTGAGTTTATTCAAGGACATATTTGGTTTGTTTTAGGGAATGATTGGGGCACATTTCCCCAGTTAACTTGGTTCAGAATCATAAAACACTTTCCCAAATGACGTTCCCTTAACATATTTGAATTTACAATAATTTTCTGTCATTTCCAATTTGACAATATCATTATCTGTGTCCTTTTTTTTTCATCTGGAAAAGCGGATGGGGAACTTCCGTTATATTGTTCATTTGGAAGCTATAAATTTTTGTGCTCCAAACAGCACACAGTTTCTTTTATGTGAAATTTTAACCCAGTGACCCAGTTTGAGAATTAAAAATTAATTTATGCAATTCCAGCACCAGTTCTTCCCGTCACAATCTTAACCCTGCAGGGATATCCCCAGCTGCCTTTGTGTGACTACTGACTGTGGCATGTCTGAGCCTGCTGTGAGTGTGCTGCTGTTATACACAAACCGCACAACCCAAGTGTAATCAATATCTATTTATTTGTGAAGAAAAATCATTTTTTTTCACCGGTATAGTTTATTATGGGTAGGTTTTGGTGAGTGGCTGATCATG